GGACAAAACTTTTTTTTTTTGTCTCTCTAGCTTTTGGTGTGCTTCTTGGTTCCATAACCTAAGACCTCATCAGCCAATCTCTGTCTCTGTGGTTGTCTCCTCTTGGGATCAGCCCCTCTTCTGTCTGTGAAATCTGCCTCCTTAGAAAGGGCACTTGACTTTGCATTAGGGCCCACCCAGATAATCCAGAATGATCTCTGATTAATATCCATAACTTAAATTACGTCTGCAGAGTATTTTTCCAAATAAGGTCACATTCTTTGTAAGTTTTAGGAGTTAAGAAGTGGGTATGTCTCTGGGGAGAGGGAGGTACTATTTGCTCCACTACAGGGACAGCTCATATACACAGACAGACAGACAGGGACAGCTCATATACACAGACAGACACACACACACACACACACACGGGTTAAAAAAAAAAAAAGGCTGTGCATAGGCAAAGGCAAGGCACAGTGTAGGCATCTTGTCCTCATTCAGGCCTCCGGGGTGCTTCTGAGGCATTCCTGTAGAACCCCTCAGCCTCCCAGGGAGAAGTGGACTTTGAGAACCATTGTCCACTGAAAGACCAAAGCTCTCAGGGGATTCCTTGGGTCTCATCCCACTTGCCTGGCTTCTCTCTCCACACGCCTGTGTGAGCAGTAACCGGTGACCACAGTGTGCACTTACTGTGCAATACCCTTTTAGTGCCCGACTTTAGATTTTATGGTGAAGTGTGACTGGGGTTAAATATAAAATTCATAGCATATCTTGAGCAACTATTTTGTAGTTATCTATATATAAATCTATTTTACAGCGACACAAATAGAATAGATTATGGAGTGCCAGCATGTAGATAGATTCCGAGTGCTTTTTCACTAATATACCTAATGATTCGTGCTGAGAATATCCAAGGGCTCCACTGTACATTTAAATGGATATAATTAAAATAATGAGCTCTATTTTAAAAAATGATATATGAAAAAAAATTTTTAAAGGAGTTAGAAGGAGCTGCACTACTAATTCAAAGTGATATAAGTACTTCTGCGATTCCATTGTTATTAGGACACCTAATTAAATGCAAAGCGTCTGAGAAAAGCAACATTTGGGCTTGTAAATCTAAAGCGAGAAGCCAGGGGAGAGAAGTCGCTGTGTCCTCAGCTGTCTGAGGGCTCGGGGGTGTCACATGGAATCGAGTGAATGGTGGGGTGCCATCGTGCATGGGGGCGTGAGGGTGACTCACGGGGCTCTCGTGTTCCGTGGGTGGGTGGGAGTCAGGCTGGTCGTACCCTGCAGCTGTATCTGGAGGCACAGCCACTGATCTATTGGGGGTGATGGTGGGTACAAGACTTAAGAAGAGTCTGCCTCCTATGGGAAGAAGCCATTGCTCCTTACCTCGGTGGTTTGGGCACTTAAGTGACTCGAGGCCGCTGGTTCCTTGGGAAGGAGGGAAGATGAGGACTTGGGAGAGGCAGCTTTTGGTCCTGGTGTGCTAGGCCTTTGGGAGTCTCTCCTGAGGCATGCTACATTCACACCCAGGCTTGCTGCGAATGGGCAAATGGGCGGACATCTGGTCTACACACTCACCTTGAGGATGCACAGGGGGGTGGAGTTCCAGTGCTTCCTTACCAGGAGGCAGGTAATCCTTCAGTCATTCTGCAAACACTACCTCTTGAGCATCTGCTGTGTGCCTACTGAGTGCTGGCGATGCAGCTGTGCACAGGACTGCCAAGGGCTCCATCTGTTCTTAAGAGTCACTAAATTAAGACAAGATATTTTCAGATGGCAGCTAGCGAAGCAAAGGAAATAGAACATGGCAGTGAACTCGGAGCTAGTCGGGAGAGTCAGACAGGGTGTGAAGTCTGAGGCTCAGAGCCGTTAAGCCACACACAGGAACTCCGTAACTTAAGTGGTGGTTCCCTGGTGACTTGCCCAGCAATGATCCAACTTGCGAACCGGGTGCTTTTCCATCTCACGTCACCTCCGGTTCTCCCCATGCGGCCAGCCAGCCTCTACCCCAGGGCATCCTGTGCCAGGGAGTGCCCCCAGCCCCTCCCCCAGGAACATGGCCTTCTCTTGCTGCCTGGCAGGTATCTCCTCCTTCCAGAGACTGGCTGTCCCCTTTGAACGTCTCGATCCTGCTGGTCCTGTTTGTGTGCCTAACGTAGAGGATTTTCTGCCAGGGCTGGGCTGGCAGGATACCCCTTAAGGGGCTCTAACATAAGAGTTCGCTGCCATACCTCCCACCATGGAGGCAGCAGCAGCCAGAAAAACAGGGTGCCTCCCATCTTTCCCCTCATTCCACTAACACCTCAGTTCTGACCTGTTCTGGAAGCTGAAGGTGAAGAGTGGGTGATGCAGGAGCTAGTGGAGGTGCTGACGAGAGGCCTCCCTCTGAAAGTTCCTTTCCTGGTCTAGGTGCATCCGACTGAGAGCCAGGATGTCAGCCTCAAAGCTTGGTTCCACTTCTAACTCCATGCAACTTGGGAGTTCTTTCAGCATGCAGTGCCTCAGTTTCCTCATCTATACAGTAGAGACCGGCTGGCCTTCCCTCCTAGGGTGGCTTCCAAGGATGAAAACAGCATTAAACAGTTCCTGGCTCATAATAAAAGAATTGAATGCTGAGCGGTTGAGTCATCCTGTTTTATGTTTCTCACTGCGGTGAAGGGTAAAAGCTCGGACGAGACCAGGCTGTGGTCCCATCGTGGCAGACACGCTAGGAAGAGATGCCTCTGGGTGCTGACCACCGTCTAACAGTTTGTCCTTGCTAATCATGGTGTTGGGGAACGTGTCTTGTGAGCAGCCACAGGCCAGCCACATAATAATGAGTTTCACCAGCTAGTCAATTGAATCTGTATGACAAGCCTGCTTGGTCTATTCTGCAGATGGGAAGCTGAGGTTACAGCCAGGTAGCTGTCTCCAGTTATCCGGCAAGGAGGTGGCTATGGTTTCTTCAAGGCCACAGTCTACCAAAGTAGGGCCCACCCTCAGGAACTCACTTAATATGCATCACCCCCCCCAGAGGCCTGGAGGTTAGGACTTCACCATAGGACTTGGGCGGGGGAGGAGGGATAGTTCAGTCCATTCAGTCCACAGAGTTGTTGCTCCAGTGGTCTCTTCCAATTCCTTAGCTATAATTTTTCTTCTCTCTTTACTCATTTCTCCCACCTGGGAGAAAACTGAGAGCGGGGAGGGGCAACCAATGTCATAAAAACCCATATTCTTGTGACAGTGTTATAGGGCACCCCAATCTGTTCCAGAACAGGGGGAGAGGGACACCCCTGAAGCCCCAAAATCCTGCCTGCTCTAAGTGGGTTCTGCCATCCACCGCAAGAAGACAAAACATATAAAACTTTAATGAAAAGGGACTTTAATACAGTGAATATACAATACGGAACACAAAGAATATAACTTCTA